TTAATATTCTTACTAATGATTATGATTTGTGTTCTTACTATTATTCTTAGTAGCATCATCTTCCGCTGGCGTGCCGCTGCGAGCAGGGGGCCGCAGACGAGAGGGAGCGACCCAGATCCCAGGCCGAGTGGCCAGAGAACACGCTCGACATGTTTGGGGCCACACCCAGAGATGCTCGATGGGGGCGATTAGATACAGTGGGAAATTGTTGCTTAGCGTGTCGCGGCGGCGGCGGCCCCTGCGATATGGTCCGCAATGCAAACTGACTGCGTGCCGCTGTGATTCGTGGAACGGGAGGCTGGAAAACGCACGAAACGTTGATGCTTGGGGACAGGGACATGCGTAGTAGACGCGACACGCTAAGCAGACTTTCCTGAACGTAAGCCCCTGGCGGTACACTTCCCCCACCTTGGGGTGTGCCTCCCCGAGAAATCACCCGCTGGCGAGTGCTCGAGGCAGGGGATCGACTTGCCGAAGAACGGCGCGCCTGGATCGTACGAGCTCGGATGGGCCGCGCGAATCGACAGCAAGAATCGGGTGGGGAGATGATCCGAACCCAACCCTCCGACCGCCTGAGTGTTCCAACAGCGTCGGCCCGATCCCGGAAGCCCTGAACCCCAAAGCACCAGCGCCCTACTTGTACTGCAGCTCCCATACAAGCTGCTCGGGCGCACAGACCTGGAATGCCCTATGAGGCCCGCCTGCTCGGCTTTACCTCTCCTGCCTGGGCCCGCCCGACTGGCAGGATTCGAGCTCGCGCGTCGCCGAAGGCGAAAGATGGCAATTTCCCCACTTCTGCAGCCTTCCGCAGACTCTTGCCGCCAGGAGGAGGAGGAGGAGGAGGAGGAGGAGGAGGAGGAGGAGGAGGAGGAGCAGCCCCACTGCATGCCATCAGCTATCGCCAGCACGGCTTAGCTATACGGTCAGGAACTGCTTCAGCGTGTCGCGGCGGTGGCCCCAGGTGACACGCGCGATGCCCTGCAAACGGATATAGCGTGCCGCTCCGCTCCGCGCGGGGCGGGAGGCTGGGAAGAACTCGAAACGCCAACGGGGACCCAGGACGTGGATAGCCTGTCGCGCCGAGGTGCTTTGCAGCCCGTCGGCAGCCCAGCCCAGCTCTGGCGCTCAGCAGCCCCGCTCTCGGCAGCTCAGCCTCGCAGCAGGCAGCGTCTTGCTGCAGCGAGCTCGTCGCTGCCTGGTCACCCCCCTCGGCCGTGGCCGTGCCTCCAATGCCACTGACGCCGTACCTCTGCAGCAAAGCCTGACGCTACGGCCTCCCGGCATTCTTCCGGGTGCTCCTGCTCTCGCTGCTGCGGGCTCGCCGCCCCTCCTCCTGCACTGGTTCGACGTGCTCTGCGCTGCCAGACCTTGCAGTCGTTGCCTCTGCCCATGGCTGCGGTCGTGATGCCGCTCCGCGTCCACTGCCAGGTCGCCCCAGCACAGGCTGGCGGCCCTGGCCACTCCTGCCGAAAGTCTTTCGTGCTGTGAGTGCCCTCCTCCTCCGCCTTCTCTACGGGGCAAACACACCTACCCCGCTTTTGACAACCCTCGCTTCCAAGAGATACCAAGCGGTGCCAAACTACGGCCTGTACTGGTCAGGCCGCTTGACGAGGAGGCGCGTGGTATGACTTGGTTCTGCCTGGAAGCGAAAGCGGGGTAGGTAATTCACGCTCTGATTCTCTCCGCGGCCGCCCCCCTCCTCCTTCCCCCCTCTGGCTGCTGGACAGTGAGGACGCCATGCCTCCCGGGCCACCAGAGCGCGCCTGCGGATCGCCTCTGCCGCGCTGCGACGGAAAAGTGTCGCGCCGATGCGCGGTGGGCCAGAACCAGCGGCGCGACACGCGGAGCCAAAGTTCTCGACCGTAGACGTGTTCAAGGGATGCCGCTGGAAGAGAGAAGGCAGCAGCAGACAGCCGGTCTCCACGGACCAAGTCGGTGCGTGGGGTTTGGGGGCGGCTCGGGGGTCTGAACTGTTCGGGACCCCAGAAAATCGATCAGGAGGGGGGGATGAAGCAAGCACCGCTCAAAATCTGTCCCCGGACCCCTCCCAAGGTCCACCTGGTGCATCTGTCCCCAAGATCCGTTTCTGACGGTCCCGAAGCCCGAAAACGGTCTCCGGATGCCGAACAAATTAAAACTCGCCCCCATTTCCTGCTGCTGGCACCCATGCTGGGCCATCTCAGTTCCCCAGCTGGCTCCGACGTGACGTGTGCCGCTGCTTTCCGCCGACCCCTTCTATCGGCTACACGCAGGAGTGACCCTAGGCAAGAGTGACCTTCATAGTGCGCGGACTGTTTGCTACTCTGATTTCTGTGGGGCCCCGCGCCCAACACGGCCCGAGCTCCGAAAGACAGGCCGTCCTGATCTTCCGAGGCGCCACAGGCCTGTAGACGCCGGGTGGTGTCTCACCCGCGCTCTTCGAACCGCACCGGGATGGGGGACGACCAATTCATCCTGAACGACGTCTTCCGCGACCAATTCATCCAGAAGCACGTTCTTCCGGACGAACCCGTCCGGATAAAATTGTCCAGATAAACTCGTCCGGATGAACTTGTCTGCGGCTGATCTCGTCTCTTAGCATGACCTCATCTTCGGATGAACCCGTCTTCGGATGAGCTCGTCTAGAAGAAGTTGTCCAGACGAGCTCGCCGGGATAGACTCGTCTCGGATGCACTTGTCCAGATGGCACGGCTTCGGATAAAACGGTCGGCTGTCGGATGCACGGCCCACACACCTGGCCGACTCTGGAAAGACCCTGGACCCTGGGATCGAAGTTGCGAATCACGTGCAACATCGTCCACGACTGGAGCCCTGGACGCCATCTTTCTGCGTCGTTCTCTCCGAGCCGGATCGATCAGTGAGGTCCCGGGGCCCGAAAATTGCGGCGAAAGCGCCTGGCGTGAAAAAAAAATGCAGCGCCAGGATCTCGGGGGATACCCCAATTCCGGCGTCTTGTTTGTGCTCGGCGGCCAGCTCGGGGGGGAGGAAGAAGTGAGAAGGGGCGGGCCTTCTGCGAAGGCTCGGAAAGTCCCCGGCCTTCTGAGAAGTTTCCTCGGCCTCCCCCCGAAGACGCAGACAAGTCCTCAGAAGGCCAGGCGGCCTTCTGAGAAGTCCCGCCGCCTTCTGAGAAGGCCACCTCCTTCTCGCTTCCCCCCTGGCTCGCCGCCGATTTCTGGAACGCCTCACCTGTCGGCACGCATCGGTCCTCTCTCTCTCTGCCCCGCGGGCTCAGACAGAGAGGCCCGTGCACGCGCTGTGGGCAGAGCCGAGCCGGGAAACACCCCGCCTCCTCTCTCCCTCCACCCCCTTAGTCTCCTCCTCCTCCTCCTCCTCCTCCTTATTTTCCTCCTGTTCCCTTCCTTCCTCGTCCTCCTCCTCCTCCTCCTCCTCCTCATCCTACTCCTCCTCATCCCTCGTGTTCCTCAATTACACCATGCAGTCCCCTCTCCTGCAGACTTCCTCCTCCAACTCCTCTTTACGCTTCGCTTCGTCGTGCTCCTCCTCCTCCTCCTCCTCCCCCTCCTCTCCTCTCCTCCTCTCCTCCATCATCTCATCATCATCATCATCATCATCATCATCATCATCATCATCATCATCATCATCATCATCATCATCATCATCATCATCATCATAATCATCATCATCATCATCATCATCATCATCATCATCATTCATCATCATCATCATCCTCATCGTCATCAACATCGTCATCATCATCATCATCATCATCATCAACATCGTCATCATCTTCAGCATCATCAGCAGCAGCAGCATCTTCATCATCAGCAGCATCATCACCATCATCAGCATCATCATCACCAGCAGCAGCAGCATCAGCATCATCATCAGCAGCAGCATCAGCATCAGCATCTGCATCATCAGCAGCAGCAGCATCAGTATCACCAACATCATCATCGTCAGTGCCATCATGATCATCATCACCATCATCAGAATCATCAGCATCATCAGCATGATCATCATCAGCAGCAGCAACATCAGCAGCATCAGCATCATGATCTTCATCTGCAGCATCATCATCAGCATCATTAGCATCACCATCATCGTGAGCAGCATCACGATCATCGCCATCATCATCAGCAGCAGCATCATCATCGTTGCCGTAGTCGTCGTCGTCGTCGCCGTAGTCTTCGTGGTCGTCTTCGTCGTCGTCATCCCCATCAACAGCAACATCATTATCGTCTTCGTCAGCATCTACTGACTCCTCCATCATCATCATTGGTCTCAACTTCATACTTCTTATTCTCCTCTGCCTCTTCCAACTCATTATCCTCATCCTCCTCCGCCTCCTCCACCTCCTCCTCATCCTCCTCCTTCTCATCCCTCTCATCCTCCACCCTTTTGCTTCTCCTTTCGGCTCTCCGAGACCCGCCTCCTGCCTGAAATGAAGACCTGAGCCCGCGAAGTTGACACTGGCACGGCAGAGCGAGGTATGCAGGCAAGACTGTACACACACCCTGGATTCCAAACCATCAACAAGTACGCAACTTAGATACGACGAAAATGATCCATGATGCTATTGGCTCGGGGTGCACCCCAGCATGTCTGGAGTATCTGGCTGCCCTTTCTTCTGAAGTCGGCGCACAACACCATGGAATCCAGCGCATCCTGGAACGTACCAGCATCATAACTCCTGGCTCCTCGAGATGAAGCCCGTGCTGCTCTGGTCGCGACAGAGTTGCGCCCAACGGGGGGTGTCAAGACGGTAATCCCTGACTTGGCGGGTTTTTCGGCTAAACTGCGATGCTTGGCCTGACTCAAAGATGCACGATGGGGGAAGCGACCGTCCTCCATCGGGGTGCGTCCGAGTAGCCCCTCTGGGCGTGTATCCTCCAGCTTATTTGTTTTCTGAGCAGCCCGCTATTACGAAGTGGAACCCGAAGATTGCAGGCACATGGTCGCCTGCGAACGCCATCGTCGACGGAGGTGAGCAGTTCAGATCGGCCCGTCCGATCGGACGGTGGTCCGGCTATCAGCCCCAC